AAACATACCTCTTGTGTGTGATCATCAAAGTAAGAGTGAAATAAAAAGAGAAGAAAGACATCGAGAGATAGAAAGGAGCTAGACAGAGAGATAATGCTGAGTCAGTTGTGTTCTCTTAATTTATCTCCATCAGTAATTGACTCGTTTCAAAGTTATCTCAGTAGTCGTTGGCAGCGTATTCGCGTTAATGAAACCCTTTCATCGTGGTGTGATACTACTGCTGACGTACCACAGGGCGGCGTGTCGTCGCCATTACTTTTCTCTATTTTCATTTATACAATCACTCAAAAAGTATGTTCTCTCTACCATATGTATGCGGATGATATCCAAATTTATATCCAGTCAACTCTTGAGAATCAACCAGTAGTTATCGCCACTATGAACACCGACTTACATTACGTACTGGAGTGGAGTAAATCGCATGGTCTCATGATCAATCCTAATAAGATAAAGGCAATAATAGTTGACAACCGGAACTTTATCTCGAGAATTGAGTCATTTTTTCCCATTCCCACAAAAATTATGCTTACTCAGGGTCTTTTCCTTCCAATTCTTGATTATGCTGACGCCAGCTATGAAGATATATCTGAGGATCAATTAAATAAGCTCGAGAGACTTCAAAATACTAGCATTCGGTTCATAATTGGGTTGCGTAAATATTGACCACGTTTCTCAAAGTCGTACACGTTTCAAGTGGGTATTGCATATTCTTTCCGCCGGAATTTGCATATTCTTTCTATTTTGTAGTGTGAAATAGAAAGAATTTTAATATTCTTTCTATTTCGTAATTTCAATTTCATGTTTCGACTACACTTTATTTAAAAGAGAAATTTAAATTTGTGGAGCTTCCAGGGGAAGATCTACGTTCTTCGAGGAAGCTCATTTTAAAGGTGCCAAATCACAAAAGGTCATTTTTTGGAATTCCTTACCGTTATTCGTTATTCGTGAGGCGCAATCTATTGGCACCTTTAAGAAATTAGATAAAGAGCATTATCCGTCTCTGTCACTCCAGTATCGTTAGGATTAAATACTACATGATTCATGTTTATATTGTAATTACTAGTTGTGATTATATTGCTTGAGGTCCAGTATATATTATGTTATCTATATGTATGTATATAAATATGTATTTATGAGTGTGTACGTGTATACATGTATGTATTTTTTATGTATTTGATTTAGTCATATATTATGTATGTTACTATTGCACCAACTACGTTCCTTTACGATATTGGTTGCCTGGAAGAGATCGCTATGAAGCGATAAGGCTGCCAAATTGTGCATTCCATTAATTTGTTTATTTATTGTTAATTTTGTGTATCTTTTATGTGTGGTGGACAATAAAGTATTCATTCATTCATTCATTCTTTCCTATTTTACCTGTTGTCTTTAATCGTAAATGTATACCTTTCTCGATACACGTTAAAAATTTAGGGCTGATTATTGACCACAGCTTATAGTGGACAAGTATTTGCTGTAAGGTAAATAAAATAACACACTAAGAGGTCTATTCCACTATAAGTTTTTCCTCCCCTCGTGCACAAAATTGTTGCTGGTACAAACGTTAGAGCTGCCGATAATTGATTACGCTGATGTTTGCTACTCGGATGCAAATCAGATTCTTCTCTTAGCTTCAATAAGCTTGACCATCTCCTTAATAATTGCATAAGGTTTATATATTTGGACTTTAAAAATTTGACATTGCTCTCCGGATTTGCAAGTTGAAATGGCAGTGGGAAGGCCACATCGCTCGAAGAACTGATGACCGATGAGGAGTAAAAGTTCTCGAGTGGCGACCACGAACCGGAAGACTTAGCGTTGGAAGGCCTCGCTCTAGGTGGACCGACCACATCGTAAGAGTCGCGTGCTACCGGTGGATGCAAATGGCAAAGTGTCCTTCTTTGTGCCGTTCTAAGGGGGAGCCCTACGTTCAACAGTGAAAGGAAGTCTTGCGGCTGATGATGATGATGATGATGACTGTTCCAGTCATCATTTTCCAAAGAGATACAAAGAGAATACGTAATTAATGAACGAGAACATATAATTATTTTGAAAAACAAATGTTGTTCATAACCATAATGGTGTGTGAGACCCTTGTGAGACTTGCACAGATCATCACTCCATCACCTCCTCGACTTCTTCATTGCGAACTCTCTACGAAATCACTGAACGACTTTGAGCTTCCTCCTTATAAAAATATACTATCAAATAATTATAAATTAAAGGTTGATATTGTCATGAAATGTATCCAGTTATCAAGAACTTTTTATTTGTATTTAGGTGTCTCTCTGATATAATGTACATTATTTATGTGATATGGTATGCATGTATGTATATAATATATATATTTATTTTGGTATTTATGTACTTATTTATTTCATTTTATAACAAAGTATGTATTCATCTTATAAAATTAGTAAAATTTTACCCACACCCCTAAAATACTCCTTACATATAATGTCCATCCAAAGGTTGCCTGGAAGAAATTGCTATAAGTACTAAGGCCGCTAATTGTACAACCCTTCTATAATTGTTTATTTTTTAATGTATCCTTTTTACTATGGTGTGTGCAAGAAAGAATATTCATACATTCATTTATTCATTTTCACAATTTTTCCACTTAATGCCGGTCTTCTATGAAGACCTCCTCGATCTCTTATTAGTATTCAGCTGGCTTTTCTTGTTTATGGAACTTATAGTATTTTATATTAAGCATTCAGTTTTTTAATTCAATTATTATAATTATATACATCATGAATTTTCCTTTACAACATGACCTTGATTCAATTCAATTGGATACACTTTACCATTTTCTTAGTTGTCATGCAAGTTTATGTTAGATTAATGGTAACGCAAAAGCAAAATTAATGAATAACGAAGTATACACGAGGATTCATTAATTCTGACTGAAGTTTAACATTAATTCCACTTATTTACCGCGTGGTCGTGAGACGGGCGTGGTGGTTCATCCTGTGTTATGAAAAGGTCTGAGCCATTTGAAGGCTTTTATTTGCGTTGAGCTACGAATTTATATCTACCCATTGTTGTCTTCCTGATTTTTTCATTAGCTGCTACTACCTCGCGGTTAACTTGTACGTTCCATTAAATGTTTGGACAGTGTGAAGATATAAATAAGTGCTTTTACATGTCGCTATTTCCCAAAGTTCTCACATTATTCCGATGTATATTGGATCAAATACAAACTCTTACAACTTATGTTCCCGAGAGGTTAGACAAAGATTGGTATTGTCAACAACATTTCAGAAAACATATTATGTACTAACTGTGATATTATATACCTAACTGTTGTGGTTCCATAACCCTATATTTATTGGAAAATTCAATGGAACCAAATAAAATAGTGACATAAACCTCTCAGCAACGATTCAACTGTAACATCTCACTGACGTTATACTTTGTCCACCATTGCACATTGGTACAATGAGGTAAATTGTGTCAGCTGTCAGCGAAGGGTATAATCTTAATAATGTGTCAAACGTAACGATCAAACGTAAACGTAAAGATTCATTAAATGTCCATACTTGCTTCAAATATACTTTGTATCTAATTAGAGGAGAGCAGGTATGCTGTCGCTTCTGCTGAAAATTCAACGTCAAACCTTAATCCAACTTAGTGTTCAAAGGAGCTCTACTAAATAGTTAGCAAAGGAGCGTTGTTCGCGTTAATTATTCCAAGTGTTTACCAACTTTGCTACGCCAAAAATTTGTGGAAGTTTCACGTTGAAACCGATTTGATTTCATATGACGTAAAGAGCCAATGAAGTTAATTATTTCATATTCTCATGTTATGGGAAAAAATATTTGTTCAATAATTTTATTTCGAGAAAAATTCGGAAAATTAAACGCCACTTAGATTTTTGCACATACTCGAATTCGAAGCGACTAAGGGTTTATTTAACAGTCATTTGATTCTATTTCATCATTAAATAATTTATATTGGATATATATGACACGAAATAGTTAGTGTTAACAGTTCTCACATTCTAATAAAGTAATAAAAACATTTTTTTGTACGAAAAGTTATCAAATCAACAGACAGTTCACGTAATGTTAAGCGATTATCGCCGCCCATGGACATCTTACGAGTACATCACTAGAGACACAACTGTGTAGACAAACATTAGTTGAACCGCCAGCTCGTTTTCCACCTTCTCATATAAAAAAAATCCAACGAGTTTTTTCACCATTGCTGCATATGAAATTTAATATGAAACTTGTAGAAAAAGGACGAAATTATTTTTTTTACCGCCGCCATCCATCCTAAATCTTACAGATTCGCACCCAGTCGCTTAAACCTCTAAACTGAATGGCTGATTGCCGTATCAAAGAAAATCTCACTGTTTTTTTTTTTCACATTTTAAACAATGGTCAGTTTAAACCGGTGTATCCTTCTGTCAAGTGTCATGTTAGCATGACTTCGTATCGATAGGTTATTTGATAGCTTTGAAATATTAGTCGAATGTGTTAAATACCTTTTTTATTTTGTATTAGTACAAAATAAAAAAGATATTTAACACACGTAGCTATGATGAAACTCAAGAATACCTAGCAAGTAAACATTAAATTTGCATTAATATTCAGAATTCAGTTTCTATTGCGTTCTAATTTCTGATTCGAATCTAGGTCAAGATACGCTTTTCATTTTTAAGGCGTCTTATGAAAAAAAAAATGTTATACACGTCTTGTCCTTTGTGTACGGAAACAAAAATTACCTCGTCAATCGGGTCGGCATTTTTTATTTAAATAATCCAAGTTTTATTTAACTTATGCAATCCATCTTGTATTGCATTAATTTAAATGTGAATGAAAAAAAAAATGTGAATAGAAATTAAAAGTAATAATTCCAAGAAGAAAGCGTTTAGCTGAGCGGTAGTCCTCATACACTAAAATAATTGATTGAATAAATGATTCGATTAACCTAACTAATCATCATCATTATCATCCATAAGACGTTCACTGTTGGACAAGGCCTCCCCCTTAGAACGCCACTTTGCCATTTGCATCCACCGGTTGCCTGCGACTCTTGAGTATCGTTGATCCACCTAACAGAACCTAAATATTATTTTACTTTATGGAGAAAAGGGGAAAACGAGCAGGAGGCTCACATGATGGTAAGTGATTACCGCCGCCCATGAACAATATTACACATTGAAAAAACGATGAACTTTCATGTCAGAAAGTGACGAGCAAATTGCCTGTTCACTCGATGTTGCCCAAGACCTGCGACAAATTACATAACAGAAACTTATTTCCACGTCACTTAGCATATTCATGGGTAGATGATGCTAAAAAGACCTATTTATATAATGCTATCTAACATCACATATTTACAATTAAACAAAAATAGGCCCATAAAATAAATAACGACATATTTGGAAAAAAAATTATCTATCCCCACCAGATGAAACGCAGAAGTATCTCTCCATTTTATATTATGCACTTGACGAAACAACTACTAGAATATGTAGTACTCATATACTTCTTTAAACAAATGTGGAGCCGACGTCTGGCTTAGACTTGCCTTTTCACGAATGATTGATGAAATATTCGTTTCAAAGACATTGCAATTGATTGAAATCGTATTGTGTGTTTTGCTCAAATAGTTACTTAAAAGGGGAGAAATTTTTGAGGCCCCGGTTTCCATTTCTTCCATTTACTTATTTTCTCTTCTATATTAATATTTTAAACACGATTTTTAACAACATAAGCTGTTATCCAACAAGTTAAGTCCTACAAGAAAGTCATAGTTTGGAATACAAATTTAATTTTCAATGTAGCAATGGTAATTAAGGATAAAAGTATCGTTCAAAAATTCGTGTATTCCTTGCTCAATGCTAAATAGTTTTTATGTTTGCTACACAATATAAATATGTATATGATATTAGATAATTAAAAATTGAAGAGAGGAAAAAAATACGGCACTTGCAATGCAGTTCTCAATAACACATTCAGTTAGATTTTGTTTCAATTACTGTAAATTAATATAAATTTTACTAATAAAATAAATAAGCAGAACACTGTGTAATTTTCGAGTTTTGTCAAAAATTAGTTATGGTTGTTTAAAATCATTTTTAAATTTTGGCATTGCTATTAAAAGTTTTTGTTGTACATGTACCGCATTTTATCCCTTTTTTTGTTTACTACTTGAAAATGTAATATGATTTTACAAATATTTAAAAAAGTCCAAACATTTTTAAATCAAATAGGTACTTTGTATTTGAGACATATTTATTACTATCTAAATGACTAGTAACATATGAACAGAAAGTTTTCCGACACCTATATAAACCGTAAACCTACGAGGAAATATTTCTATTCGTAGATAACAAAGTAAAGAGTATCAATGTATTAAGCCCGCCGTTTGTACCAGTTAGTACAAAAAAGTGTGTAAATAAATAAAGAGTATCAATGTGTGAAAAGTGTGAGAGATCGTATCATAAAAATAATGAGAAAAAGAAAAATGAATAGCATTTTTAAAATAAGTGTAATAATAAAAAGAAAAAAAGAATTTTTTAATATTCATTTTATAAAATTAAATTTAGTTTGTCTGAAATTATTGGGTCGTTTTCGTATTAGCTGTTTGCTGTGGCTTATAAACGCTTTGAAACATGAAGCTGTACGAAATTCAATTTCAAATTTTTCGCAGTGTTCGATTAGTGTGGGATAGAGATATATCAGCTCTGCGTGGTCTAAAGTTGGAAATAAATGATGCAGTGTGTGATAACCGAAACGTGTAAGTGAATTGAAATGGCTGAAATCCACTCGCTCCTCCAGTGCATCTAGTTGATGAATTCCCCAATCGTAGTAGTCTGCCCTGAAATTAAAAAAAAATATTGATAATTATTAAAAAGTAATTAGTACATTTTCTCTTGCAGAGGCATTTTTATTGTTTATTGGTAATGATTCCGTGGCGCAGCTGCCAAGGTATTGGCTTCGGCGTCGGGGGTCGTGTGTTCGATTGCGACACGGGACAACTGTTTGTGGGACCCACAGATAGTTGTTTGGCATCTGGGTGTTTGTCCTCCTGCAATTTATGTTTGTAAAACATCCTTACAACACAGGATAATGTGTCCTTAAGTTTTATTTATGTGGAAAGTTGTCAAACGAGCAGACAGTTCACCTGATGTTAAGTGAATACCGCCGCCCATAGACATCTGCTACATCCGAGGATTGCAGATGCGTTGACAACCTTTTGAATATTGGGCTCCAGCCACCACACTCACCAGACGAAACGCGAAAGTAATATACTTTCACTTTACGCCGGTCTTCTGTGAGGTCGTGGTACTTACCCGGACGAGCCTGCCCATTCATGCAACAGCTGAGGCTGCTGCGTGGCCCTATCACCGTTAATGAGATGGTGATAAGTGAGGGCAAAGTTATTTTAAAGAAAAAAAAAGAAGAAGAAAAATGGGGACGCTTGTACTGTAAATATTAAAAATTAAAAATTGAAAATTTAGATATATTAAAACGATGGTGTGAATAATTCAATGAATTATTAAACGATCAGGAAGCCAGTCCACAACATCGCCCTACTATAACGTCCAAGAACAACTTGCACCACCTAGCCTTGCAGAAGTCCGAGAAGCCATTCACAAACTTAAAAATAATAAGGCACCAGGCCTTGATAATATTACCTCTGAACTTATTAAAAAAGGGGAACCACGTCTCGAAGACCTATTTTATAGACTTATCGTCATGATATGAGAGGAGGAGATTATACCCGAGGAGTGGAACCTAGGTGTTATTGTTCCTATTTACAAGAAGGGAAACAAAAGTATCTGTAGTAATTACAGAGGTATATCAGTACTTCCGACAGCCTACAAAATATTCCGTGGAATTGTCTATATGCGCCTCAGTGAATATGTGAAGGGATCATAGGAGAGTATCAATGCTGCTTCCGACGTAATCGTTCCACCGTGAACCAAATTCATCTATTGCGTCAGACACTGGAAAAAGCACACGAGTATAACATCGACTTGCACCACATATTTACCACAACTACTCTCTAGCATGCTAGAACTAGGTGTACCAAGTAAGCTAGTACGACTTGTAGAAGCAACTTTGAAGTTCTCCAAATCAGTTGTTGCTGTCCAAAATGATATATCGGAACCTTTCGAAATCCACTCGGGAGTCAAACAAGGAGACGCACTTTCATCCATCGTTGTCAAGTTTAGTTCTAGTTTTTGAAGCTGTTATACGAAAACTTAACATCAATGGACTAATCAACTTTAACACCACCCAATTATGCGGATAACATCGTTATCATTAACAGGTGAAAAAACAGAATGGCCGATAGCTGTCTGAGACTTGAAAAAGAAGTTTTGTCTAGTTTAGGCTTACATGTAAATGTCTGAATACCTTGCGACTTCAAGACAGTCTAGGCCATTAGAAAACATCCTCGTGGAAGACCAAACGATAAATGGTGTTGGACGCTTCAAGTATTTGGGATCGTCGATTTCCTCCCAGAACAGGACAGGTGAAGAAATAAGAGCGCAGATAGTTGCTGGAAATAAATGTCTCTACTCATGCAACCAACTACTGAGCTCTAAACTTCTCAGCACAAGATCAAAAGTAGCCATCTATAGAACCATTATCAGACCTATTGTGACCTATGCATGTGAAACCTGGACTTTAACTCAGAAGGACAAACAGAAAGTTGGTGTGTTTGAGAGAAAAGTGTTAAGGAAAATCTACGGGCCAGTGAACGACTGTAACGGTACCTACCGTCAGCGAATGAACTATGAAATGGACGCACTTGTCGAACACGAGACGATCGTCAGGTATTGCAAGTCACAGCGGTTGAGATGGGCGGGCACTTTCAGAGAAGGACAGATACGAAAGCAGCTAAAGTAATGACAAGGTGGACGCCGCAACAGAAGAGACCGAAAAGCAGGCTTAAAAAGCGTTGGATCTACTGTGTGGAGGAAGGTTTAAGGAGGATGGGCAAGCTCACAAACTGGAACAGGACAGCCATACTTCGAGACAATTGGAGGGATATTGTAGAAGAGGCCAAAGGGTTGTAGCGCTAACGGAAAAAGAAGAAATAAAAAAACATACGTTGCCACATCCAATCCTAGTTTAACTAAGTGTTATGATTCGGTTATTAAGATTGCTGAACCTTGTTAAATTTAGAACGAATTTTAACAGATCAAACAAATCAAGTATCGCATATACTACACATGATTACCTATATTGTATTTCATGGACGTATCCCGCTTACGGCTACACATAGCAAATAAAGACTACTATTACTAGTAGACTATCGAAAATCTTAAATCAGGAATTTCGTAGTCATATTAACATATTATTAATTTAACACAAACATGTTACACGATTATACATCCCGGAAATCGCCTACACTGAAACCACCCAGCTACAACATTCCACATTCCATTCTCAAGGGATTGCTTATTCCTTGCTACGTGCCGTCGCCCGTAATCCCACGGATACGAAGTGGTTGCGCAACACAGGTGTTGGACTCCGCGACCGTCCGAAGCATCGTAGCGAGCGTCACTCTTGTCTCACACTTCGAGCAACCGTCACCTCACATAGAAATAGTTAACTTGTAATTTTTATGTAATAAATAAGTATTTTTAAATTTAAATTTGCATTTTTTGCATCCTCCGGCCCGTAGCCTTCGTAATTGACAAAGTTGTTTTGTATTATGATCTGACCATACATAATCCATGCAACTATCGATTGAAAGTTATAACAGAATAGTTATCTATAATCGATCATGTTTAGAAACGATTATACACTAACCCTAGGGACAGCTCACACTAGGGTGTGAGCTGTCAAAATCATTATCCTAAAGACAAAGTATAGTCTTTAATTTCTAAAATTGTTTTAATTTTTTAAGGAAACGGTGGTAGGGCCACGCAGCAGCCTCGGCAGTTGCACGAATGGGTAGGCCCGTCCGGGTAAGTACCACGATCTCTTTAGTATCATGACAATTACTTTCGCGTTTCGTCTGGTGAGTGAGGTAGCCGGAGCCCAATTTTCAAAAGGTTGTCAACGCATCTGTAAGCCTCGGGTTTAGCAGATGTCCATGGGCGGCGGTATTCACTTAATATTAGGTGACCCGTCTGCTCGTTTGGCAACTTTTCGCATTAAAAAAAAATAAAGGAAATCACTTAAGCAATGTTGCAATATTCCCTGTATTGATCATCAATCAAATAAAATGTAAATTAATATATATTAAATTTAGACATTAATTTACTTCTTCCTCTATATCTTTAGTATTTACAAATTTTTCAATACTTATAAATTTAAACTTAAAGCAAATCGTCTTGCGTTTTACGTTTTTAAACTTAATAATTAAAATTTGTAGAAAAAGTACGAAAAGATTGTACGCTGACGCTTTAGCCACTAAGCTAAACGGCTATTTGCCATGTCTTTTATCTACATTGTTTTTAGCCACACCCGATGGAACTCGACACGTACCAACAGTCGAGGCACCGCACTTGACTCGCTATCCGACAGGCTCAACTTTGTCGTAGCCCCTACGAACATACGCACTTTTCTTACGTAGAGGGACACTCATCAGATGTTCTTGATATTGCAGTCGTCATAAACATCAATCTCTCCTATGCGAACCGGAAGTGATACACGAGCTTCACTCCGATCACCGACCAGTTCTTCTTCGGCTAGAGCCCTTAGCAATAGCCGTTCCCCAAACCAAAACTGTCATCAGCTGGCACAAAGTAAGATCCAAATTTAATGAACCCAATCCTCCTCTATTAGAATAAATCCCCGATCAACTAAACAGCAAACAAGACACAGAGACCGCAATTCGGGCTCTCACAAGCCACGTCAACACCGTCGTCGAGCAATGCTCGAGACAGATCCCGGCGATGGATGACCATCGCTGGGCCCTGCCAGATGATGTACGTGACTTGCTGAGACGCAAGAATGCGGCCACTCGTGCCTATGATAGATATCCCACCGACTCGAATCGTAGACTGCTACGTAAATTGCAGCGTGAAGTCAAAACACGCATAGCGGACTCACGAAACGAACGGTGGGACTCCGCCTTAACGTCAGTAAAACCATTCCACGTAGCTTTTTGGAAACTTCCTAAATCCCTCAAGGGTAACGCGATAACTACCATGCCGCCACTAGTCCGCCCGAAAGGTACGCCAGCAATGCTGGACGAAGAGAAAGCCGAGTGCCTGGCTGACAGTCTAGAGTCTCAATACCTCCCTAGTCTGCTTCCAATCATCCTCGAACACCTCCGCAAGGTGAACGAAAAGGTAGAAAGGAAAGTCGCGATCCCTTTCCCCCAGTCACGTGCTCCGAACTAGTCGACACCATTAAAAAACTACGTCCACGTAAAGCACCAGGCTCAGATGGTATCACCAATAAGGTGACCAAGTTCCTTCCTAATAGCATCCTTCATATACTAGTGTTATTTAAAACGCGGCTATAACCGAAGGCTTCTTCCCGTCCGAGTGGAAAGAAGCTGATGTCATAGGGTTCCTCAAACCCTCTAAACCCGCCACTCTCCCAACCTCATATCGTCCAATAAGTCTTCTCAAAACATTTGTGAAGATCTTTGAAAGACTAATATTAGCCCGCTTAAGATCCCTTATGGACACCAAAGGGCTCCCCCTCCCAGAGCAGTTTGGATTTAGAGCCAAACATTCATGTACCCACCAAGTGCACCGCATCACGGAGCACATTCTAACTAAATGCCAACGTGAACTTAACACCGGAGCACCCTTCCTGGATGTGGCAAAGGCGTTCGATAAAGTCTGGCACAACGGGCTCGTATACAAGTTATACGGCTTCGGAGTACCCGACCGTCCCGTATGCATAATACGAGACTTCCTAAGTAATCGGACCTTTCGCTATCGCGTCGAGGGCGTATGTTCGACAACGTATCCAGTTCGAGCCGGGGTGCCCCAAGGGTCGGTGTTGGGCCCAGTCCTGTTCACGCTCTACACCAATGAAATGCCGCATGTTAAAGATGTAGAACTTGCTCTTTTTGCCGACGACACCTGCCTCTAACCTACAAGCAGAACACCCGAATTGATCCATCGACCCCTTCAAGCTGCGGACATCACCATCGGTGACTGGTTTCGGCAATGGAGGATCGAGATTAATCCCGCCAAAAGCGCGGCCGTCCTTTTCGCACATAAAAAGAATGTACCCAATCCACCCCCCGTTAAACTCATGGACAGCCCAGTACCATGGGTTAATAAAGTCAAATATCTAGGCGTCGTCCTCGACTTCCAGCTTAAATTCACCCAGCACGTGACCCAGGTCAGGAACCGGGCGACCTTCGTACTCGGTCGCCTCTACCCGCTCCTCAATAAAACGTCAAAAATGTCCCTTCGGAACAAGGTGACCTTATACAAGGCAGTAGTTCGCCCTATCATGACGTACGCGAGCCCCGTCTTCGCTCACATTGCTCCAAGCAAATGCACCGGCTTCAGGTCATTCAGAATCGATTCTTGCGCAGAGCCACGGGAGCACCCTGGTTCATGCGCAATATCGACCTACATGTCGATCTAGAATTGACCACCATCGCGCAATTCCTGAAGTTGGCGTCGCGCCGTTATTTCGATTCCGCCGCCGTGCATCCCAACCCACTAATCGTAGGTGCCGTCACCGACAGGCCCTTTCCGCTAGATACTTTCCGACGTGATTACCGAAGGCCGCGACACGTTCTCGAATTCCCTGACGATGAGACGACTAACGCCATCTAAAGGATTAAAATACTTAGGAAACACACCAACACATACCGAACTCGCCGACGAGTGCGGCAATCATATACTAGGTTCCGCCACGTACCTAGCAGGTTTTCCCCCATTAATGATAGAAGCGTTGCTGGAGTTTCTTCCGCCACATCTTCTCCCAGCTCCAACGCTCTCCGAAGTGGTAGTAATGTTAGCTCTAGAACTTCCCCCAGTCAGATAATAGCTACCGATCGAGCCGAGGTCCGGCCCTCTCGGGCACCCTCGAATCGGAATGCAAAACGCGTGTTGAGTGACAGCCCAAGCCGAGGTCCCCTCTCGGGGACTCTTGAGCCTGATCACTTCATGGAGCGCCCGCCTAAGAGCTTGGCGGCCTCCCAAACCGGTGATAATAATAGCGTGATGGCCCGAGCCGAGGCTCCCCCGGGAGCCCTCGAGCTTAGTCACCATAAAGCGTAGTAATAAAACGCCGAGGCTCCGGCTAGGCGCCCCGTGCGCCAGGCCACCTCAAGCTCGTCGGAACTGTAAAGGCCCCTGAAGGCCCTAAACTGTAAACCTGTAAGGCCAGCAGTGGCTCATCGAGCCCAAAAAAAAAAATGTTTTTAGCATTTGAAACAATGCTTGCGCATCCGTTGTTATATCCTAAAGTAATAATTATTTAGTAACAATCATTTCTCATGCCGTCTATAAGGGAAACTCAAAATGAATTTATAAGCAGTAATAGTAGAGCGGAACTGGTTTCTAAGTGGTCCAGTCATAATTTTATAAGTATATACTACTAGTAATAATTTTATAAGTCTGTAGTGTGGGGATGCATCAGCAATAACCAAAAAAACCTAAATGCAACAATATGTCCACATATTACTATAGTGACCGGTGTTACGTATTGCCATACTTATTTACCTAATAAAAAGTTACACATTACGCAGAGCATCATAAATATTTAACTCAAAACATTCATATAATATAATAATTAAACAACTAATAAACAATTTTACGACACTGGTGTTTCGTTATAAAATGTATGAATGAGATATTATTTTTTTATATAATGTAATCATGCCACCTCTAATAATATATTATAACAATTTTACAACTTTGCCAACTTTTAATGATTATTATTATCATAACAATCTAAAGCAATTAACTAGATACTTCTGTTCTGTGTGAGAAAACAAAAAGCGATAAGTAAATAATTATCTTAAAGCGTGAAATAATATTAATGTGATGAATTTGAATTCACATACAGAAAATATTTTCGTTTTAAGGCACACATGAATTAAATATATGCAATCATGAATTAAATATTAACTCATTAATTTCAATGTCTGTGAAGTAGGTATATCATTTTTACTTTTGGGCCAACGTAAGAGTTGCACGTCTCGCGTAAAATCAAATAAATTAATTTATTCATCAAAGTAAGAAATATACATTTCATCTATCGATAGTATTTTTTTGAATCTATCACCGTTTCGTAATTAGGTTCCTCTAACGGAGAAGAAACAGGTGAAAGAAACTCCGTAGGTATCTTTTCTATCTTTTTCTGAAATAATTATATTATTATATAGTATATAATATTTTACGAACGAGTTTTTCTTTAATAAATTTCATAAACCTGTCAATAGATAGACTTTGCACATTAACTGGAATTTTGTTGTGGAACATATACAACGTCCCATGAATGACTCTATAGAGTCAGTAACAGGTGTTACAACTTGTTCCTAGTATTTATATTATGTACACCAATATTCTTATTAAAATTGTTAATGTAGCTAATTACACTTTTATATATATTGAGAGGACAAGGTTATTTATTCATTTAAATATATGATGCTTTAAAATTTAGATTATAAATCCCTCTTATGGCCCTTTTTTGCAAAATAAATATTGTTTCCACTTCGGCTGTATGCCTCCATAGTAAAATACCTTATGACATTATTATGCTATGGAAATAACTAAAATAAACGATCTGTCAGACATCTTATTTTCCTTACAGCATATGCTGCAGAACTTAAAGGACCTTACATTCTGGTCAATGTTACAACTGGTTTGACTTGTATCGATTACATATATAATCACTATAAGGAAATGACACACTGAAATTCAATATGCATATAACAACATGATAGCGCTTACTGAGACCATTGAGAAAATTTTTAAATGTTGGAAAAATCCTTTATAGATCTCCACCGCTTTATGGGTAGACGGCGGGGTATGAAGGAGACCACAATATCGGAGTATACACTAAAACTCTGTCCAGCCACCGTCAAAGTACAGATTGTCTCCACAGTTCTTATGTTGGCACTGGGCCGCTCTAGCCGCAGTCCCTGCTCAGCGATACCGTGTAAGCGCAGTCGTTGTCTGTGCCTCCTCAACTCGTCCAAGAGACGGGTGAGAACTAAGTAGAGGGCCTCAACATCTGATATCAAAGCAGTATGTGGGCAATGTTTAAAAAAAAAAAGAAAAAAAAAGTATGTGGTATACCGTGTGTACACGACATAAAAACGTGCATGGCAGCCTTCTAAACGCAACAGCCCTCCCTTTACACACGATCCTTCAGTTACCCTATTACACGTACGAAGACCCTCTCATTGTCGCACCTCCAGGTACACTTCTATATCTCTCCTCATTTGCAATGAAATTTTCTTTACTATACAGTTTACTTTACTTTCTTCACTTTTCCTTTTCTTCTTCGTCTTTCTTCCACATCCTCGACTGAGCTATCCGTCTGGTGCACACAAGCGGGAATGTAATACGATCATCTCTTTAAATATATAGTTTCAGAACTCAAAACAGTCAAGACGTTTAAGAAATATATTCAATCCCGTACGAAGTAATACTGTATTACGGTATATGTTATAGCAATGGTATTGTATACAAATACGAGGGAGATATGAAACTAGCGCAGCAAAATTGAGGCACTCTAATTCCACCAATTGGTGTAATTAAATATACAAATATATACTACACATTAAATCCGTAAAAATAGTTTCATTTAATAATAACCAATGTTCGCGTAAATATAAGAAAATTAAAATACCAAAATATTTTAAAAATTTTAATTATACAGTGAAAGAAATTACTTTGGTCAGAAAAAGTTTCTATTCTTATTAGCTCTTAAATTGAAATCAGCTCAGCTTCGTATTTTAGAATCATTCGGACAACTGGTATACTTATGATGAACCTATGATATATCATATGGTACATCATGTACCTATGGTACTTTCTTTTTGATAAGATATAAAACTATAAAACTCTTATAATAGATGGACTGTAACGACGGTATTGAGAAGGTATTGTATGTTGCACATTTTATGTACAAAAACGTATATAAATCATTCTTCATAAACTTACGGGATATTTGACATCGTATGCTAACTTACCTAGGTATGTCTCCATCAAAGAAGTTACGATGCGAGTGATGGCCGGCAGTCAAGCCATTTATCATAAAAATATAACTTCCTATTATATTGGCAGCCATCCACACAACTAGAGTCCAAAGTAGCGACAATCCACCCAGTGCCCACATCCATGCCGGGAGGAAGAATTGTATCGCGTTAGCCCACGATAGCTTTTTACCATCCATTCCTACTGCACCCGTCACTATCCTATTATAATAAAAACATTGAATTATCACGATTTTAAAAGTTTTTGACGTAAAAAAATTAAGTACGAATAAGAAAGGATTATTTAAATTATACTTACTCTTTAACCAATAGGCCAATAGCTACAAAAGAAAATATTATCGGATAGTAAAATGCAGCCATTTGAGCCCATATTGGCTTTTTCTTTGATGGCAAATATTGTAGGAAGGGCTCTAGCATACTCAGCTCCAAATCGTTGGTTGTGTTGGTATGCAAGTGATGTGACAAAGCATGCGATATTCTCCAGTCTCTACAAATTTATTGTGACAAAAAAAAACTATTGTTATAAAATATTCATAATGGAGACGTGTAATAAAATAGAATAATTATTATTAATTTGGTTGCAAAACAGTAGCGATAAAGGGGTTGGGATTACGATCCGAGTTCGTGGGGTCGAATTCCTATGAAATATGTTTATACACTTCTTTCATGGAAATATGTCACCCATTACAGAAAGAATCATTAATTTAAAAGCTTCAAATGTAATCAATATAAAGGACGCTAATAATTAAAAAACAGACTGCAGTACAAAAAATAAATTTATAAACTTAAATTAATTACGTAATAAAGGCAAATCAATTTAACGACTACGTCGTTCATCAAAATCTGCTTAGCAGCTTAGTATTTGAAAGAAAAAAAGGAACGGATTTACAATATCATGTACATTCAAATACTCTACTACAATGTCCTATTTTGGCTTCTCTACAGTTGGGTAATAATAGCAATTCTTTTCCAGAATTGGGTTATTGAATATTTCACTGAGATTTTTTTTTCTCGTGAGTAATAAATCATCACCATGGAATTTTATACATATTTGGTTATACTTTGAACACTTACTCGAATGACATGCCGTTGAGATTGAAAAGGTACATTCTCCAATTATCTGCACGATGAAAGTAGTTATGTGCAGCAGTTGTTACTCCACTAAGAATATAGCCTACGATGACTGTAAGAATTGCCCCTAACATCAAGTTTTGGCTCCATATCCAGCAGCAAAGGGGACTCAGTATGAGTAATCCCAAAAACAGACTGTCAATCACAACATCACTCTGTTTCCTAATGTCCTTCGGCATTTCTTTGAGTTTTATCTTAATTTTTTCCTTCAAAGTCTTGTAAAATCCATCCTCTTTAAACGTGAAAGGAGAATTTCTCGGTGTGTCGGCTTTTCTGACGAAATATTTCGCTACTAACATTTCTGCCACCCCGTGAAGGTGGTGTGTTTCAAACGCCTCCGTTATATCCGTACCCTGTTATAAAACAGAGTTGGTTTGTATACATATTTAACTCAAACTCAAAAGCTGACTTTAAATATTTCTTAACAATAAATACATATAATATTATGTATAAGAAATTAAAAAAGTGCTCAATAAAACGACATTGATTTTTATTGAATTGGGACTAATGGCAGGTTTATCAAAGTTACACGCAAAATTTATACCTTAGTAATATTTATCCATTGGGGTCCACCGGGATGCGATGAAATGAGGTCAGTCAAATCGTAAAGAGAATCGTGAATCCTCCAAAGACCTTCCGCTCCATCGAGCATATTTTTCCCTTTTAGCCATTGATATGAAGTTCTCGGGTCTACGTCTCGATAAATAGGATATTTTAAATTTGGGAAGCTAGTCTGTCGACGATCGAGGTTGGGAGCCATGTAAACTGAAAATAACAAAAGTGTAAATTCAAATTCAAATTTATTTCTTTGGTATTACGATATATTTGCTGCATATAAAATGATGCTGCGCTTTCTAGAAATTAATCTTGTAATGTGGTTGTTTCAAAAACATGAAAACGGGTAGAAATGGATGCCTTATTAATAGTTCTTTTCAATTATTATTTCTAAAAAGGAATTTACTTAAATTTTTCCAAAAAAATTTTATTTCTAATGAACGTAAGAAAACCCTTAATTTCGCTTTATATTTTATCTTCCAATTCTAAATCTCTTCTAAATTTCCGAAACAGAGCCTTCCCGTTTCTTAATTCCTCTTACCAAAGGATTAATAACATCGAATAGATAGAAAAAAAGATCAAATCTAACTCTGGCATCGTAGGCATTCAAGCTTGCACACAACCATGAATCATAGTTAAAATACAACTTGGCGTTAAAATTATGTATTGTAAATGTGGTAACGGAAAAAAAGAACAGTAGCGGCCTTTGTGAAGGTGAAACGAAGGTTCAAGACCAAGTGTATATACGAATCATAAATAATTATTCCGTGCGAATAAATTTATATTTAAACATTCGTTAATTAACATTTTCATCGAGAATAATGTATCTTTTTCTTTATTACCAAATTTTTCATTATCTTGTACTTACTACTTTGTATGCCTACTCTGATAAAGTCTACCGCGCATTACTTATTTATCAACAAATTTGAAAGTAATATAATGAAAGGAACACGCATCGTTACGCCAAAAATAAACTGGACCTGAAGTAGCCGACGTTTATTACGTGGATGCTTAGAGGACAGTAAGAACCTTAAGTTTGACGGTCATCCAGTTGCAGTAATGAGGCGATTTGCATTGAATACGTTACCCAGTGGGGTCAATAATTTGTCTTTTTATATGTCAGGTTGTGAGCTAGCGGTGCATCACTTACTATTTAATTTACTTAAAACAAAAGGTTTAAAAGGTTTATTTACGGTACTGTAAGTCACATGACAGCTTCTAAAAATCTGAGCTCAGTTTTTAAAGTTTATTGACTCCACAGGTTTTGTTTATGCCCATAACTAATCACTTAACTTCCGGTATGCTCCCTGTTCACTTGCCTTGTCATATTTATCTGCATATGATTTTGTTTGTACGGTGCAAAAATAATAATTTGCTGTGCTATGATATGACCTTCATTTAAAGTACTACCGATTTATTTTGGAAAAGTATCTATAAATCATAGAATTGTGAGAACGAGATGTACTGGTCATTAGTTATGATAGTAATTGAGGAAAGCCTGTTTTACGACAGATTTTAAAATAGCAATCTTCATTGTTCAAAGTAAATTTTCAGATTTGTACTTGTTTTTATATTCCTGACGTTTCGAACACTTAAACAGTGTATCAAATGTTATTAATATTTATTATATCCCGTTTGTCTTTATAAATGTATATTTTCAATGATATTATATATTTCTATAGAATATTGGGTAATATAAAATTCCAACTGTCAACATGTAAATTGTAATGTCGTATCTTAACAGTGCATAATAATTTCTATATCATATTTCATATTCCCTTATATATGTCATAGCGGAACAATTTTTAAATGCCATTTAGCATGGAGCTGCGTTATATATATATATATATATTATTCAAGATATTGGCAAATTTAACTATCAAAAGCACCACATCTTTACATTGGTCTTAAAACCATTTTCTCAATGTATTCCTGGAATAATCAGATTATATATAGTACCTGGAGGACCGAGCTTTGCTCGGTTTGTGTCATTTTTTGGTAAATCATATATTTTGGAAATTACATTGAGATACAAATTATTGAGTAATGAAATATGCGTAATATTTTTCAATCTTACCGACGTAATAATAAGAAAATATGAACTGGTGTTTTTCACAAAAGAAAGAACTTTAAAAAAAATAACAAAATAACAAATCGACAAAAAATAAAAAATAAAGAAAGCAATGATCTGGAATAGAAAAAAAAGTTAAAAAAAAAAATAAGTGTGTAATGATCGTGATACGAACTACGGCCGTCTGTTTTGAGGCCGCCCGATTGCCGTCCGCGCTAACATAACATTTTTTTTGCGGCGAATTTTACCGTCATATTCGAATGATATTTTTCATTCCCTGAAAACAGGGATAAAAGGACATTTTCTAAAAATGAAACCTAGTTAGATCGATTTTTTGCCCCCGAATCTACGCACATACTAAATTTCATGAAAAGCGCTGGAGCCGTTTTCGGGATTCCAATTATATATATATATATATATATATATATGTATGTATAAGAATTGCTCGTTTAAAGGATAAGATAAATATTGATGTATTTCCTAAAAACAGTTTCTTAAAAAATACATCATTTTAAAGAGTTGATCGAAGTGCGGTCAAAGATTACACGTTATAAACAAAAAATATGAAACCAGTTTTAGTTCTCTATGTTATTTGTATATTATATTTTGGATATCATAAATATTGAGATATATTTATTTAACTGATATGATTTTGACTATTTTTTTTTGGTTAGTAGTTGATACAATCTCGCATTTTGATTATTGCAAAGTGATCTTTTCACAGAAGTTTTTATTAACGTAAGCCTAGTTGCATGTTGTCAAATATGAAAAGGGTTTCCAGTCACCGCCCTTATGAAACGAAACGCAGAAGTTTAAAATTACTATCAAAAATAAATTAATCTACTAAACTAAATTACTTCTAAATTCATGCATGCATATAAGAAGGTGTTTCTTGGATAGAGCCATACTGTCTATGCAGCAGTAGAAACGGTTTAGTGTCTAATAAATAAGCTGCTAGTTTTTTGTTTTAATTTGCTATTTTGCGTGATGTCATTTGAGTTGTTTACAAGAGGTGCTGCATGAACCGCGATATTATTTATTACAAAGCAAGCAAAATTATTAAATGAAATTATAATTTATTATAGTCAAATATAATTATATTTTATTATGCAATCTGGTTAAAAATAGTTGTTTAATTGATTGACAAAATTGTGATTATTAATAAATTTCAATATTAAAATAATGGGTGATTATTACAACAGTATAGACTATGTTTATTACATGATGGAATGCAGATTATATATCATACAGAAAACAAGATTGAATAAGATAAAGAGCTCCAAAAAATATTCCTCTTTACAGAAGGCTGAGATAATGTAGTATGCTCTATTAGTGAAAAACAAAAACGGCCAAGTGCGAGTCGGATTAAAGTACGAAGGGTTCCGTATCTTTATCTATAATAAAGGAAAAAAATCATGTCTGTTGTATGGGAGCCCCACTTTAATATTTTTTAATTTTGTTTTTTAGTATTTGTTTGTAATTGTAAATTGTTCATGCGGTGCGCTGGGCATCCCACTACAAGCGGGGCTGCCCGTCTTCCGCTTCCTCTGTTTCACCACCCAAATATATAAAATTCTGCGTACAGCGCCTTAGGATAATGTCTTATTCTTTCGTGTTATTGATAAGTTCCTATAAAATAAGCTGGCAAATGAGGAAACGGGTAGCCCGGGTGATCATCAAAGGCATGCTCGAGACGCAATTGCCTTGCGAAATCCTTCGAATGCACTTCAGACGGTTCATAAATTTCTCCTGGAAATACGCAAAGCGCATAAAACGCGTCAGTGAAACGTGTATGTCGTCTTCAGAATTAACAAACACTTTGTTTTCAAAACTCTCTTGTCATACAAATGCGAATATCTAAATTAACATACACAAGCATTCAATTTCATTATCATTCACAGATATTTTATTTTTAAATAAATATAATAAATAACAAATAAATTTTAGGACACGTTCTTTTTACACAACATTCTCTAGTCCCAAACTAAGCAATGCTTGTACTATGGGTACTAGAAAACTGATAGACATACTTAAAAATACTTTTCTTTTGTAAATAAATACACATTATACATATATAAACACCCAGACACTAGAAAAACACTATGCTCCTCACACAATATTTTTCCAGTAGTGGGGATCGAACCCACACCCTCTGGCGCAGAAGGCAGGTATACTACCGACTACGCCATTCGGGTCGTTATTTTTTTTAACATTTTTTTTTTATTTTAACATTTTGAAAATAACAAACAATTCAATAAAATGTTTTATTTGTTTTGTTAATATGAGCTTAGTCATACACTGGTATAAGATTTATAATAATAAGAAGACTAATTATCGCTTCCTTATTAACAAAAGTATTATCGATCATTATGTCCGTTTATCGTAATGAATTAGATATAAAAAACTTAATGATGGTTGAGATAATGGATATGCGACAAAACGTACTCCGTTGTAAAAAGGATTTGCGTAGATCAACAGATGTTTTTGTCAAAGTTTTTATTTACATTTATGTAATTCCATAATTATTATTCCAAAATATTATTATAAATATTTATTCATGTAATAATTGCACCTACCACGATTTCTCACCACGCCCCGGGTTGACTGGGAGAGAATGCCAAAAAGCATTAAGTTCGCCCTTTGTAATCCTTTTTATTTAAAGGTTGCAATAAAGTATAAACAAAATAAAAAAAAAAAAAAATAATTCCAATAATGTTATAGACGTGAAAGTTTGTATGTGTGCGCGCTATTTATCTTTTGGTACCCACAAGAGCGGATCAGAATTCGATAAGGTTTGGAATGATATACCATTGCACCTTGTGTAAACACCTTTAATACAAATTTTTTAGGTGTTACGTGAGAGGGAGATCGAAAAAGGTTTGGTTGGATTATGTTACACATGCAGTATTTGTGAAAGAGGTCACGGCTAATAGAGGAAGCTGGAAGGGGGGGCTTAAACTATGGTAAGGTCACACAACAGTCGGTGCTGTTGCAAGAAAGAGCAGGCCGAAGACCAGCGTGAACTGGAAGTAATACTTCTACATTTCGCCTGATGAGTGAAATAGCCGGGACCCTCTCTATTCCAAGTCAGCAAAGCATCAGTATCCCTACGGGTGTTGCAAATGTCCTTGGGCGGTGGTTATCAGGTGAACCGCCAGCTCACTTGCCACCTTCTCACATAAAAAAAAGACGTGTATTTTGTGCCGACCATCCAAGTGTTACACGGGCAGGAGAAAGAAGAAGATATTATTATAATTCATCTCCTCAAAGTTTATTATTTAAATTTCAGAAGAACCACGTGGGGAGAACTTTGTGCTGTTTAATTAAAATCAAAATAAAAGTGCAAATTCATCTTACTTATAATAACTTTGACCTTGCGACTTTGTATGATATAACATAAATATCGTTTTCTAAAAGAAATTAAGTATTGCTTGTTGAATATCGATGTCCAGAGTAATAGTAGTATCCAGTTGTGATTAAAGCGATCAAATTAAACTTGTAATTAGATGTGTTAATTACCTGTGTTCTTCCGTAAGTAACTAAAGTAAAAAGCCGGAGTTATTAAAACTTGTTTGAGCTCTTAAACTTTTAATTAAGTATAAGACGGCGATTCACTCACATAAGATTGGCACTATTGTTATAATCTAACCTAAATGCTCATTTAATTTTATCAGTGTAATAATGTTGTCCAAAACACGCGACCGTATCGCTGCGCTTTTTGATTGAAACTGGAGCTGCGCAGGCGTTCCGCTATTATAATATTCGAGTAGCCACTAAACAACTATTTTATTCGATCTTCAAAGCCGGTTCTACATAAGAATTGTTTTTAATAATTTTTGACATGTTTACGTTATGCTATGAGAAGTATGGCACAAAATTAAAAAAAGTTTGTGGGTACTTATGTAGGCACGAAAGAAGTTATACTTCTTTAGCATAACAAAATGCATGGCGCAAAACATTGGTAAAAATGTAACAGAAAGAGCGTAGATAGATGTAGGGATTTTCGCACCGTGAGCTCATCGGCCGCTTAACTTAGTTGTTAAAGTTTGTAGGCGCGAAACCAGAAGACGCAGGTTCGAATCCCGCAATGCCGAAAGTTTATAAATGAACTAAAATCCGAAAACAACTTATAAATAAAAAAAAATGTGGACCGAATGGTGTATCTAAACCATTCTCGAATCGATCTGAAGGAGGAGTTCAGTGACATACACACGTACAGAAGAATTATATATATATATATATATATATATATATATATATATATATATATATATATATATATATATATATATATATATAAAGTTAAAAAGTTTTTATCAATGTAACAACAAAACTTTTTGTTGTCTAATTAAGATAACGCCTTAGTTTCATAATTATACAGTGATATAAAATGCGTTAAGATCACTAGTTGTAGAATAGTTGAGATCACGTATGCCATACAAAGCGCTGAACGTCTGTAATTTAAAAGTGCAATGAACCTGACCCAGCTTAAAAAGGCTAAGGAAAGTTTAGGTTAAAGGATAGAAATTTAAACAAAGATAATTTTTACAAAACTTTCAGGATTATCTAACGTTTACTACAGTGCGTAGTGAGTACAGTGGAGTAGAAATACAGAGTAGTAGTTTGGATTAAGTTTTGAGTCGACTTCCTGTTATGTCGCAACAAATCTGCAAATAAAGGAATTGTTTTTATGAATTTAAAGTCCTATGCCCGTTTTTACCATCGATCCCTAGCTTTAAGGAACAACTAAAAAAATGCTAGTTCTTTTTCACCACCGCTCAAGTGTCACGCTGAAGGCTTTAGGTGAAACTTAAGAGGTAGTGAAACTAAACTAGCACTTAAATTTTTTTAGGTGTCCCTTAAATTTGATCCCTAACTTAATGAAAACGGGCATTAGAGACTTGGACTCATTTAAGGCCATAAAAGGACCCATTAAAGTGGGTCCTTTTTTAATATAATAACATAATATAAAATTTTAATTATCTAAAATTAACATAGCTTTTATGTGGTAGTTTTTTTAAACAGGCGAATTATTCAACTTTTGTTTATAATTGGTTGAGATTTTTATAAATGCATATTGAATGTAGAAGTATAATCGTATTAGTGAATTTAATTTTAATAAAAATTATCGCAAGAGTTTCAATCAGGTTTTGTCGATTCAATAGGTGATAATATGGTCAGAAATGTAAAACTATATCCAAATCAATTTGGTTCTTAAATAGAGAATGAAAAATATCTCCATCCAACGTCGGTTATGAATAATATGTATGATAACGGCAATAGTATGTAATTATTTATACAGTTATGATACTTATTAAATTTTTTTTCTTGGTTGTGGCTAAATAATTATAAATGGTTACCACCATTTTACAAGATAGAATTCGTTAAGTTTTGTGTAATTAATTTATTCTTATCACTAGTCTTTGTACTCAATATAAATAATGTGTTTTTTTTGTAGAAAAGTTGTTGCCGACAAATTTTCGGTGCTGCGGGATTCGAAGCTGCATCTACCGGGTAAGGTACCCAGACGCTTTGAAAAACTAACTGTAAGGGAGTTTCGCAGTAAATTCGGTGCACTGAGATTAAGAGTTCTTTATTTGCAACAAAGTATAAATACAATTAAATAACTCAGGACAGTTACGTGGACACAGTAAACGTTAGCAGAGCGCGCGTACGGAAAAAGAAGAAGAACGTATGACAGACAGTACCCGAATTCATTTAAATTCAAAATGTAAAGTTCGCGCGCCCGTTCGCAGTTGCCATATAAAGGAAATATTAACACAAAATTACAGATTACGTTATAAACAAATATGTAAAAAAATTAAAGTAGATTAATATAAAATATATTATAAAACATAATTAAATAATATAAAATTGTAACGCGTCACCTATATAAGGTAAGCGGCGGATGCCTTCAGGGTGCAAATTTTTTGTACATTTTTGCTTCAAAAATTTACATTTCAAGCTAAGCAAGACTAATATTGAGTGAGGTTTTAATTTAGATTCATTTATCAATTATCTTTAAAGACACTTAATGTTTAATACAACTTTTCTTTCTATTATATTCTTCTTCTAACAAGTATAACTTTTCTTTCTTAATTTTAGAATTCTTTGTAAACCTTTAAAAACGAACACTAACGTAAAAATAACTAACAGTAAGACAATCCAGACCCAGAACAGGACTATACCACAAAAATTAGAATATGAATTATTTGAAGAAAAGAGTTTCTTAAATATTTAATCTATACTACTAAATAAAATTGTATTGTCTTGTTTTTAATGTCTAAATACCCGGGTTTTACTTAATAATGAATGTATACATGGGACTCATAATATGTTCTTTTTTTGATATTTGAATTTTACAATTTTTTGTGTCTGTTTGTTCCGGCTAATCTCCGAAACGGTTTCGTTGCTTTTACAGGACGATCACTGGCTGATGGCTCATGTTATAGGGAGTAACTTACGAGTAGATCAGATTTATATTAGAAACTTAATTAGAGTTCCGCGCAAAAAATTCGATTCCGTGGTCAATTATACTCGGAAAAGTTCTAATTTGTGACAATCCAAATAATTTAGAGCCCTCACAACACAAAAATAGAAACCAAGTTTTTTGTTTTGTCTGTCATTAAATAAACCCAACAAACTGAGACTAAATCGCTTTTTGGAGGTCAATTGATTAAAATCGTGCATACGCTATTAAAATGTGTGTGGTCATAAATAAACTTTTTTGAGTGCTGTAAACTGAAAAATCAAATTGTGCTCATAGTTAGACAAATAATTTACGCAGACGGAGACATGGGTGGCAGCTAGTAAGCAAATAAAATCGTATTTCATTGTCATTGATAGCTCAGTGTACTTTTTAATTCTATTGAATTATCTACTATATATACTAGAGCTATCAGAGTTCAAATCCCGGTGCTAGCAACTTGAAATTATCAATTTTAAGTGCTGACTTAACACGTGCTCAGCGGTAAAGGAAATAAGAAACCCCATTTTCGAAATAAATATAAAAAATATTCTTCGAAGTGTTATGTGAAGTCTGCCAATGCAATGGGGTCGCTTGGTGGACTATATGCCCTTATATCTAGTGTACAGGCTTTGGCCCAGCTGTGGGATATGTACCGACTGTTACCTCACTTTTAGTTTTCATTGTCTAAAAACGTTTAAAAACTTTTTACGCTTTACACCAGATTATTTTTATTACAATAATCACTTTCATTTTCACTAAACATAAATTATTATATTATGTGTAATACTTAATATAAAAGCAGTCAATGTAATATTTTCTACGAAAACTTCCTAATAAAAAGTACCTATTGTAGTAAGCGCCGTCAGAAATTAATAGCTAATTTACGCTTAAGGGACGAATTGCTGCGATACTGAGATAACGTGAGATGGACATTTAAGGGGAGAATTATTTTTATAAGCACAGCCAGTATAAATGAAATGAAAGTAAAAAAGAATATTTCTTACTTTATGAAGTCACGCCAGCCTCCATTAAGAGATATGATTCCAATGTACAATTTTGGAGTTTATTAGCAGCTATGGTTTTGCCGTTTTTATATTCTATTATGACCATTAAAATTACATATAATTGCTATTTCCAGAATTAAAATTGGGCTACAACTAAAATGTCATAGGAATATCATGACAGTATTTGCCGTGCGTTTATTATTTCCTTTGGTCTCGTAATTATAAAAATCGTTTTGTCCTGAGATTATTAGAACATAGTCCGAACACAATTATTTTATTTTGTGTTTTGGATAAATTTAGGTTTTACAACTGTTTTTTTTATTTCAGCGGTAAAATATCGTTCGATTAAAATTGCAACGTAGACCACGATGTCCTGGTAACCACTGTCAAGCAAAAAGCAAGTGTACTTTTCAAGAAAAATAAATAAAGGAATAATATCACTCACGTCTGCAAACGTTCCTTTGCCATTACCAACACGCGTTCCTTTTACTGTGCTAAATGGGCAGTAAAATTAATGGTGTTGCTGAATTGGTCGCAATGCAATGGTTCAGTAGATACTATTCCCTTTTTTCTGATTGTTACTCATTCTGATAAGAATTATTTATCGCACAAAACTATTGGGTTGTTTAGCAGACCTATTCACGCCAGAGCTTTGCTAACTTCAACTACCATTATTAAAGATGTAAGTTACGTTAACGGTGTAAGCTTTATTACATTACTTATTACAGACAGTTGTTGTAAAGTTCTAATGTGCAAAGCTTTGAAACAATAAGTTTATAAGTAGTTAGGGACAATAACACATTCAGAACTAAAGCTATAACGAGCTATTTGGATGATCCATATTTGCCGACATTATTTATTAAACCTTTGTTATGCCACTGTATCACATGATAATTTTCTTGATGGCAACCCGAAAATTTCTAATGAAGCCAAGGGCGGATCCAGCTTTGGTGGGGGGGGGGGGGGGGGGGTGTCACGTAGTCGTGGTCAAGTGATAAGAAGCTATAATTTAATTTTTATATAATCATAGATAGAATTAAAAAGTAGGTACTTATTTTTAACCGACTTCAAAAAGAAGGAGGTTATCAATTCGGATGTTTATATTTTTTTATGTGGGTATGTTCGGGCATACCATCGTCATGTATAGACGGATTTGCAAAATTCTGTTTTGCTCGTACATAGCGTTATTTTTAAATATTGAAGTTACTTACATAAAATCTATATATGTGTGCAAAAAAAATATAAAAACATTATGTTTAACAATTTTAATTAGTGGTCCACCTAGGTCTTGGACCCAGCCCAGGAGGGGGGGGGGTCATGACCCCCATGACCCCCCCTGGAGCCACCCTTGAATGAAGCTGTAATTATTTTTCAGTAAAATATATTTAGATGATACACTTACTAAACGGTCTCCGAGATAAATCAAAGTTCAATAACAAAATAACTAAATATGAATATTCATTAATTAAATGGGTAGAAATTATAGTGAATATTCCTTTAGTTTGGATTCCTTCCTAAATAGCTTAAATTTAAGTGAAAACGTTATAAATGGTTATCTTCTGGCTATCGATGGCAACAAGCAATATTACCGTCCACTGAAGAGCCATGAAATTTTGTTGTGAGTTTTACGGCCATTACCGATAGTCCCATTTTTATATTTCATTCTTCGCTCCACATGGCAAGTTAATTGAACGCTAGTGGTCCACGGAATGGGGCATTCGGTGTTGTGTGTGAGTCCCTTAAGATAAATTTAATTTATGACTATAACATGGAATTATGACAATACAGATTATCAAATATACCTTTATCCTTTAAGCACAAGTAAGCAAATTATAGCGTTTTGAATCTTAGTTTTTACGCGAATATTATACAGATTAAATGAAACTAGTTTTCGGATTTTATCGCGTTTTAATTTTCATTTCGAACGAGCGACATTTCGAATATTTTCCAGCGTACATTCTCTCTCTTTTCTTCTTTCTCAGTTTCTCATGTCTTGGTGTCAAAGTTAACCCGCGCTACCGTCATTTATTTTTTTATTTTTATTCTGATCTACGCAAACGCTTGTGGTATCTTGAGCTCTAGCAGTGTTGGCGTGCTTGGATTACTAATAGTTGTTAATAATATTTTATTTATGATAGTTTTTTTTTGGATAAGGGCCAATGGTCTAAGATATAAAACTCGGAAGAATTAAATGATTTTTTTTCCTTGATGCACGTTCAACGACTTACTCCTCTATCATTTTATCAGTACAGGAGAAAGACTAAAGAAAAAGATTACGAACATTCTAAATCATTATTTTATTGCTCAGAAAGCAAAATATTCAAACTGCATCGAATTTTGATATTTTCATTACTGATTGAGAAACATAAACTGTTCTTTTATTTATTTTTTCATGTGAGAAGATGGCAAACGAGCTGGCGGTTCACCTGATGTTAATTGATAACCGCCGCCCATTGAAATTTCCAACACCTGTAGGATTGCAGATGCGTTACCACCTTTTAATAAAGTGGGCCTCAGTCATCAGACGAAACGCAGAAACACAACACTTCACACTTCACAATCACACTTTACGCTGCGAAATCGTGATACATACCCGTACGGACCTGCCTATTCGTGCAACAGAGAAGACTGTTGCATGGCTACACCACAGTACTGTATGCAATGGTAACGCAACATACTATTTCGGACAGGAATTTTTGAACTAAGAAATAGTTTCAGAGTCATGTCAAAAATAGTCTTAATTTGTAAACTGGTTTTGATATTTCCATACCATTTACTTTTTATTTTGTTAAAAAAAGAATTTGTGCCACGCAGGAATTTTTCTATTTCTGAATCAGTTTTCAAAATATTCATACAGGAGGAGACAGACGAGTGATACCAAAACAATACTTTTGGAAGTCCTTTAATACTGCAAAAGTAAATTGGGAGCGAAGATCCCTTATGGTACAGCCGCTAGCTCGTTTACGATGTCCATGTTTATAAAAATAGGGTACTGCCTCTATTGGGACTGCCCAATGCAGTGGCTCTTGTAGTTGCAGAGGATGAGAACAACTTCAACTCGTAACTAAGGTTTCAACTATCCCATCTTCTGGTACACCACTAGTTGATCGATTTGGGTTCCTTCGGTATGACTTACCTTAGCCAGGATAGGGCAACATGTACACCGTAAGGAAATTATCTATTTCGACCGAGCTCCTGAAAAGCAAATGGAAATTTCATCGTTTATTTTTCACGTAAAAAAATGTATTAAATTTCTATAACGGGCGTAATGCCAGTATAAATTAGGGGAGTGAGCACATTTTTATTGCGGCAATTTCGACTTAACGCATAAGCAATATGTAATTATATCTAAAAATGAAATTTGTTCTGAAACGGTGATTTAAAAGGAAGCGTAATCGTACAGAACAATTATTTGTAAGACGATAATATTTTAAAGATTTCAATGGCAAATAAAGATTATTATTATATCACACTAGAAATGAATATTATATTTAGACATTGGTGGTTTTTTACTCAGTTTGTCTTGTTTCATTTTTAGAAAATGTTCTTTTATCCCTGTTTTTAGGGAATAAAAAATATCATTCGAATATGACAAGCTCGGTCGGTAATCGGGTGGCCCCGAAACAGAAGGCCGCGGTTCGTGTCACGATCATTTAAACACTTATTTTTTTTTTTACTTCTTTATCTATACCAGATCATTGCGTTCTTTGTTTTTTATTTTTTTATTTCCAAAATACACGATTTACCAAAAAAAAAAAATCGAGCAAAGCTCGGTCCTCCAGGTACTTGTTAGATTAATCAGCATAATTCATTAATTAAAATCTAAAATCCGTTTGCATTAAAAGTTCTAATCAGTTCACTTTTGCTTTTCTCGTGGACACCATTTTGAAACAATGTACCCTATGTCACTCCTCCTCAGATGAATCTCCAAGAAGTTAAAGCTGTTAAAAGCAGCTAAAGTGCATGAAAAAGAGACATTCATAGTTACTTCTTTTTACGGTTTTGGTTGTAGCTGGTGTTGGTCTGGGGTGGAGGTGGTGGATTATGAGTCGTCATCGCTTGGGCCGTGGTCTGTGGTGACTTCTCCCTGAACTCCCTTATTCTTCGTCCCCCCCGTTACCCCTTCTCCCCGTCTTTTTTTGTCACTTGCGCAGCGCACTTAGCGTCAACTCAGGTTGGTGGCAGTCGTCTGCAAAATTTGTATGCTTAATTTTTTTTCACTTTGTGCTCGCTAGTTTTTCATGTCAAACGATTTACCCTTTAGTCCCATCTTTTGGTCTCATTACATATTCATATACACATTGTTATTGACTTTCATCCCAAACTGCTGCTAGTATAGATAAGATGCATTCTTGAGATCACATCAAAAATATCGGCTAGAGAATAAAATTAAAAAAAAATAATTTTGATACATACATCGGAAACATTAATTAGTTATGATTAATGGAGAGATATGTTATTCGTTATCTCGTACTTAAAGTATACTAACAGGCTTTATATGTCTCACACTCTGTACACTCTGATCGAACTGAAGTTGCTCGAGTATATTGAAATAAAAGCGAACGCCTGGATTAGCTGTCACGGCTCCTCTTTTAATTATAAATTGCGTTAAATAACTCTTAGGGGAAGTATATATTTTTAATGTTTGTTTTTACTTTACTCTGCATTTTACAAGAATTCTTCTTTAGTAACTGCATGGAGAAATTTTCCACAAAGATTCTTTACGTGTCATGAGCAAAGCACGCTTTGTGTAAATGATGATAATATCCGGACATGAAAACATTTCTATGATGCCGAGGCAACATAACTCAAGATTAAACATTACCAACATGCCCATTAAGTAATACCAACATGCACATAACATATGAAACTAACTTAAACCAAAAAGGAAAATACTCTTTTTTGTGTAAGTAAGTGGCCAGTTCTTGTCCACAATCTCATCTGAAGGTAAGTGGTGACGTTACTGTAGATGATATACGCACTAGCTCAGCTTTCACTGCTGATAACTGCGTATATCCACTGAAAACCAGCATTCACGAAGGTTGTCAACTTCGTGATATGAAGCTGAGTGGTGACCATTTTGGTTCATTTTAATCATAGGTATTTAGTTTTTATCATCTATGGTATTTTTGTGTTATTATGTGCCAAATAAATGTTTCTTTCTTCTTTCTATCATCTTTCGAAATGTGGTACGGCCATGCAGCAGCCTCGGCTGTTGTACGAATGGGCAGGCTCGTCTGGGTGAATTGGAAGTATAATACTTTCACGTGTCGTCTGGTGAGTGAGGTAGCCGGAGCCCAATTTTCAAAAGGTTGTCCACGCATCTGGAACCCTCGGGTGTGGCACATGTCCATGGGCGAAGGTATTCACTTAACATCGGACGAACCGCCTGCTCGCTTGGCAATTTTTTACATAAAAAGGTTTAGTTTTTATTGGCTATTTCCTATAATCTTGGTCACTGGCACGCT